AATCCGAGATTTGTCTCCCGGGCCACGCGGAACCGCTCACACCTGGGAGTGCGCAAGGGGGCGCAACGTACGATTTGCTCAGGTGCTCTACCTAAAAAGTGGGATATGTACGTTCGCGTAGCAAACGTAAAAAAAATGTTTTGCTGGCGGAATCGTTTCAGTTGGAAGTAGAACTGGTAAGCACGATCTACTCCTCCTTGGTCGTTGGGGCTGGATGTCCTAGAAAAGGCTGGAAAAGGCTGAGAAAAGCTGACGTTCACTCCAACTGACGTTCAGCAGTTTTTCCGCAGATTTAAATAAAGAAATGGCGCTGATTGCCTCAGGGGAGGGGCATTCGGGGCATTCTGAACTGCCGCTAGTTTCTGTTGCTAATTCTGGTTTTAATTGCTCGTTTTATCTTGGTCAGACCAGTAAACTCTTGTGAAATGTGAAAGGCTTATGCTACTGCATAGCTTTACACGAGTTACAGGTCTCCAGCCATAGCAGTGGTCGATGGGAGCTAGCGAAATGCCCCTCTATACCGAACTGCCCCAAAAAGTTTTCGTTGAAGTGGTTCACCCAGAGTGCCCTAAAAAGGCCGATTAGTTTTTTTAGCACTTTGGGTTTAACAAACACTGACTGATTACGGTTACGGTTACTGAGGTAAGCGCTGAGGTTATGATGAGTGCCGAGGACAACGGTAAGGGCCTTACTCACAAACGACGAAATAAATTCAATTTTCAGCGTTCGCGGTCAGCGATGCGGAGCTTTTGGACATGTCAAGAAAACTTCGTGCACTCGACGTAAACAAAGCAGAAAAAAATCAAGTCAGAGTGGACTTCCAGAGTTATACCAAGCCAGGAGATCCGGCGACTGACAATGCGCCTAAGAAGTTTGTGTTTTTGATGGTAATCCTTCAACTTGGGTCTAGAGCCTTCAAGCGCGGCTACTTGTCGCACTTGAACTCTTATGCAAAATTGGGAAACCATAGCCTACTAGGGAGGATTTCATGAAAAACGATCAATTTCAGCCTCTTCACTACAGTTGATAACAATCTCCTTTCAAAACCCACCTACAGAGCCTTCTTGGCGCTCACCAACAACTTCTATCGGGAAACTGGTAAAGCTGAACCACGCGTCACAAAGCAAGAGGTCTGTTCAAGATCTGTTAGGTTCCATACGATTATCAGGTCCGGTTTCTTCATATGTGCAGTCCATATCCGAGTCATTGGGAGGGCGTGCCCAAGACTTGCTCAGTTCTGGAGCAGCTGAAAGTTCAGTCAGAGGTGGAGGCAGAATGTGCATGAAGGATAGTAGTTGGCACAATAGCTATCTATGCACCACTCATCATGTTTTCCTGAACTGGCAAGTTAACGCTGCCACGCTCACATTTTAAGCAGGTGAACACCCCTTTCCACCTCTGGATATGGAACGTACGCATGAATACAGCGA